GAAATGGGATCCCTTTAGCCCTGGTCCACATCCAGTGCTGATGACCTGGGACCCCTTCCTTGCCCCCACAGCTTGGGTGGATGATGGGCTCAGCTAGTGAGTGCGAAGCAAGTCAGACCACAGTCAAAAATCAGTTCGCATGCATTTATTCAGTGTTGACTATGTGCCAAGCAGCAGGAATTCAAAAACAAACAAGCAAGCAAAGAGACAATGCATTTAATGGGGGAGAAAACACACTAAGACCCATGTACATATACGATGTATACAGCACAGGGCAAACACGGGTTCCGGGGAGCTGTAGCCTCTGGCTACACTCACAAGTGCAGCCTGAACCAGCTTTCAAATTTAGTTAGGGAAGAAAGTAAGCATTTATATAGCGCTTACTATGTGTCAGGCACTTTACAAATATTACCTTATTTGACAATTGGGAAATATTTAACAAAATAAATCAAAATGCAATAAAACAGACATCATCTTCTTGGGTGATTTTCGAAGTCAATGTGGCCCACAGGGATCCTCATGACTGGGTTATGACCCATTTCTATTTGAATTTGACACCACTCAAATAAGTGAAACGGGTGATAACCTCAGCAGCAGTGGGGAAGAGGAAAGGACTTCTGTGAAAGGTGGGTTTGGAGGGGAGTCTTGAAGGAAGAGGCAGACAGGAGGAGGGAGGGTGTTCGAGGCCTGGGGGATAATTCAGGAAATGGAGTGTCATGGATGAGGTGCAGCCAATGGGCCACAGCAGCTGGATTAAAGTAGCCCGCATGAGAGGAGTCACATCGAGACTGAAAAGGCAGGAAGGGGCCCGGCTCTGAAGGCCTGGACTCTCTTATTGGCCCCCAGACCATTATTCCTGGCAGGACAAGTCACGTAAGGGTCCTGAGATTTCTAAAAGGGAATGCAGAGGGTGGGGAGCACAGGGGGCCATTCTCCTGCTTACTTAGGCTAGATTTAGAAACAGGCCACATTTGTGGGGCACTAATTCTCCTGCTGCTTCCACAATTTTTTTTTAATAGTCTGTGGTTTTCCAAAACAAGTCTGTTTAAAAGAAAAACAAAAGGAGGGCCCCATCATCATTTATATCAAGGTTCTGAACAAATTCACTTTCACCCTGCCATCCCCAAGCACCCCCCAATGCAGTGAGTTAATGAGCATTCTTGTCTGCTCCCAGGAGCTAAAATCGCATTGGAGTGGCCCAGCACGCCAAGCTGCCAGTCACACTAATGACTTCCACTCTCTTACTAGGAGGACAATATGTTCCTAACTACTGGACTCTGACAATAACATCTCCAGCTGTGCTGGCAAAATCACAGAAATGGCATTTTTATTAGTTCTAATCAAAAAAAGGCTACAATGTAGCACTTTCCTCACTTGGCCTTTGATGAAGGCATACATTCACCTCAAGCTGTAATGATGCAAAGAATGTTTCATCTCTCAGGATTCCTAGACACAAAGTGTTTCCTAAAAAATAATGTTCATGTCTCAAAGCTCAGGTTTGGTATTGTTAAGGTACTGTAGCTGTGATTGCTGGAGTTCATGAGAGTGGGGCTAGGCTAGAAGGAAAAGAAAAATTAGAAAATGAAACAAAACCAAAAAGGAAAGGAGGAAGGAAGGGAGAGAAGGAGGGAAGGAAAGAAGGAAGGAAGGAAAGAAGGAAGGAAGGAAGGAAGGAAGGAAGGAAGGAAGGAGGGAAGGAAGAAGAGAGGGAAGGAAGGAATGGAAGGAAAGAAGGAAGGAGGTAATGGAAGGAGGGAGGGAAGGAAGGAAGAAAGGAGAGAAGGAGGTAATGGAAGGATGGAGGGAAGGAAGGAAGGAGGGAGGAGGAAGGGAGGGAAGGGAGGAGGAAAGAAGGAAGGAGGGAAAGAAGGAAGGAGGGAACAAGGAAAAGAGGGAAGGAGGGAGGGAGGGAGGAATTCCCCCAAGTCAATTTCTTCACTTCAAAAATTGCCTTGCCAACTCTCTCCAAAAAGAAACCTCCAATTACTTTCGCTCTCTACACCTCTGCTCAAAGTCAAACAGCCAGGGCCAGATCAGCACTTTGAAAGTGAGGCTCACCACTCTCCCCTTCCCAAAAGGTACCATGCATTGGGTTGGAATGTGGCATGAATTCCCAAAAAAAATACTAATTCTGGCAGTAGCAGCAGTGAATGCTAAGGCCAGTGCATCATACTGCCTAGCCATTCCATGAGAAGGCTAAATAGTGAAGTGGGAAGAGCACTGGACGTTAGAGTCAGAAGGCCTGGGATTACAATCTGGTTCAGGCACTTACTACTTCTGTGACCTTGGGTAAGGCACTTCTGAGTCTCTGCTTAGATGGCATAATAAATTTGAATTTGGAGACAAAGGAACTGAATTCAAATCACAGCTCTGCTGTTTACCACCTGCATGACCTTTGGCAAATCTGTTTACTTCTCTTTGCCTCAGTTTCCTCATCTGTAAAATGAAGGATTTGTACTAGGTGGCCTCTAAGATCCATCTTAGCTCTGGATCTGTGATCCCATGGTCTTATGACCTTGGGGGTCCTTTGTAGCTCTGATCCCTCTGCTTGCCCAGAGATAGAGGGAAGAAATTAGGTAGGGAAAAGTGAAGGGCTAGATGACTGTATAATATATGGATTCAGAAGGGGCTTACTTGGTACTGTTAGCCTCAGAAAGGAGAGATCCTGGAGAATTCATAAGAATACAGTGTGCTTGTGTTAGAGAGATGGCAGACTGTGTGTGTGGAATGTGGGTGTCACAAATGCTGCCAGCCTGAGATGCATCAGCTGGTTTGGGATTTTTTTCTTTATTTGATGATGGAGGTTTAGTGGGGGTGGGGAGGAGAGGTCTAACTGGAAATGATTTATATAAATATAAAAGGCATCAGTAAAAAAGAACCCAGAGATTAATCATTCCATCTTACTCCTATTATTCTCACTCCCAGGATTTCCTGGCCAGAACTTTCCCCTCCTCTCCAGGGTTTATCCTAGCCCAAATGGTGCTACCTCCTTCCAGCTACAACTCACTGGGGCCTGATAGTCCTTTCAAGTGAAAGGATCCTGCCAAAAAAAAGAAAAAGAAAAAGAAAAAGACAAATAAACTGCCCTTGAATTGGTAACATGAATGCCTGTGCCATTCTCAGAGAAAGCCAGGTGTTCATCAACATGTGAAGGCAACCTAGATACAGCTTCGTTCCACTTTTGGGGGAAGGCAAGCTGCTGTTTATCATAATATCAGATTTAGGGGCACAGTGGATAGAGCTCCGGCCTTGGAGTCAGGACGACCTGAGTTCAAATCCAACCTCAGACACTTGACACTTACTAGCTGTGTGACCCTGGGCAAGTCACTTAACCCCATTGCCTAGACCCCCCTCAAAAAATCAAATTTAGGGATGGCACCTTAATAATAGTAGCTTGTAAGGTTTCCAAAGCACTTTACAAAACTTATCTCATTTGATCTTCCCAATAACCCTGGAAAGGAGGAACTATTATTATCCCTATTTTATTACAGATGAGGAAACTGAGGCAAACAGAGGTTAAGAGAATTGTCTGGGGTCACCTAGCTAGTAAGTATCTGACATAGGATCTGAACTCAGGTTTTCCTAATTTCAGGTTTAGCCCTCTATTCAGTGTACTACCTTGCTCTCCATACTTTTCCTACTGGATCAGTTCTCACACAAGCCCCTTGAAATATGTTTACTCAGGGGCAGCTAGGTGGTGCAGTGGATAGAGCACAGGCCCTGAAGTCAGGAGGACCTGAGTTCAAATCTGGCCTCAGATCAAACACGTGACATTTACTAGCTGTGTGACCCTGGGCAAGTCACTTAACCCCAATTGTCTAAAAATAGAAAGAAAGAAAGAAAGAAAGAAAGAAAGAAAGAAAAAAAGAAAGAAAGAAAGAAATTTACTCAGAAAACTGTGGCAATTACTGCTAATCCCCAAATATACCAAACTCAGGTACTCCAATCCAAATAACAGAGAGATAGAAAGACAGCAGAATTGTATAATTTTAATGACCAGACTTGGTCCAAGAGAAGAGTTGAAAAAATTCACCTTTTTCTGTTTACAAAGGTTAAGGAAGGGGGACATAATAGGCACTTAATAAATAATTACTGTTCACTGACATATTGCATAGTGCATATACTGTCAGACCCACTCCATGACTTGGTTAGTTCCTCCGGTTTCTTTTTCTTTATTTCCTTCTTAAAGTCTTTGTTATGAGGGTTAGCTTGCTAGGTGAGTGAGGGGAAGGGATACATTTGAAAATCAAGGTGATGTAACACATAAGTGTTGTTTTGTTTTGTTTTTATGAAATAGCACTGGACTTGGAATCAGGAATGATCTGGGATGAAGCTCTCCTTCCTTCCAATCCTTACAATTTGAATCACAGTAGCCAAGTCACTTTCCATCTCTGAAACTCAATTTCCTCACCTATAAAATGGAAAGAAGCAATGTGGCGTAGAGAATAGACAACTACTTTCGGACACAGGAAGAAGTCCAACTTTTGACACACACAGAATCTTTGTTGCATGACCCTGAATAAAGCATATAACCTCTCAGTGGCCCTAAGCAATTATCTCAGTATATCAGTCGAAGATCAGTTCCTGACTTGTCTTGGTAGAAAATTTCCCACTTGAGTGAGATCATAGATCCAGTAAACCAGGTACCACCAGCACCTGCCTTATAGGACTCCCAGTGTGAGGCTCAAAGGACAAAGTCAGTGTAAAGTGCTTGCTCTGTAAACCATAAAGTTCCTTCTTGGTGGTGGTGATCAAAACAGGTTTAGCATTTTGGAAACCTTAAAGTCATATATAAACACTATCATATAAAAATATAGCAAGTGCCCAGAAAGCCCTAATGTATCTGAACAATGTCAGCTACTGGCTTCAACTCTCCATCGGACAGAAGAGTTTCTTTCACACTGAAGGATGTTTCATAGCTAGCATTCAAAGGCAGCCAAAGCAACATGAGGGTCAGTTCCTGCATGGATCTGAAGACCCAAAGAGGAATGTCTACTTACTGGAGATAAGGCATCAGCACCAGACAGGACCGCAAGAGGGGTCGCTTTTTCATTATCCTTCGCGAGAAAAAGCTTTGCTGGTAGTTATCCTTGATGTTCAGAATGTATTGGTGATGCAACATCGAGAATCGGACCTCCCTCAGGCCCCGGAAGCTGGTTTCTTCTATCAGTCGAATAACAGACTGTTGAACAATAGACTGTTCAATTAGAAAACAAAATGGACCAGAGGAAAGCAAATTAATAAACAGTCAAAACAAAGCCAAGCAAACACCAACTTCCCCAGCTTCTGTTCAATGGTAACAATGCCGCCAATGGCACAGCCTCTAGACAGAATCTGTAGATTCAGTGCTGGAAGGAACTTCAGAGCCCATTCATCCAACCCTCTCATTTGACAGATGAGGGAACAGAGACCCAGAGAGATCAACTTTCCTATGAGAGACAGGATTTGGAGCCAGGTCGTTTAACTCCAAATCTAGCACAATTTCTACTCTACCACACTGCCTCTACTCCAACTACTTCAATGGACTTGGGCTTTCCACAATATGGACATCCTCTTCAATGATGCAGACTGCAACTCATTCATACTATCTTTGTCAGAAAAGGGCAATGTCAAGGTAAAATAAGTTTTACTCTGTGTAAAGCAGGCATAGACCAGAGAGAGTATCTAGTTTCTTCTGTTCAATGTGGCATGGCTTCTCTCACATGACAATACCATCCCAGATGTTAATACAAGCTAAAGAGCTCAGGAATATTCTTCTAGGACTGAGACCCCCAGGTAACTAACTCCATTCTACTCTGAAGCTGTGACTATCTGCTTGCATCTCTTTTTGTTTATGCTTCCTGAGGGAATTTCCATAAGAGGAATTAAAGATGGAATTGTGCAAAGTTCAAATAAATCAATCCAGCCACCAGTCCAAGAAGCTAAAGGCCAGACCAATTATTTGAAGAATACATTTTACGGTCACCTTCTCTGCATACTAGATAGCTGCTAAAAGACAATCAATTATTTCATCTCATGACACTGTCCAGTGACTAATATACACCATTTTCTCTCTTTATTCCTTTTCAAAGAAGAGAGGAATCTAAAACAGATAACCCAGTATTTCCTGTGTGCATGTATGTGTGTGTGTATGCATGTGTGCACAGGTAAAAAATAAATTTAAATCAAAGAGAAAGGCCAAATCCTTCAGACATGAAATTAATCCTCTGAAGTCAATTTCAAGGCTTTTTGACATGACATTACATTCTTCACCAAGAAAGAAGACTAGACCAGCAACCTTTCTTTTATTTGCTTTGTGATTAATGAGCTGTCCTCAGTACCTTGGACTAAGGATGCATCTGCAGAGAGGCCAGAGTATGAAGCAGGAATGATTGATCGGCCTCACCACAACTCAATAAACATTTGCAAGTACATCTTCCTGGGGACAGAGTGTGACTGTTGTCTCCTCATCTCTTGACAGGCTAACAACATCACATGCCCTCCTCCTATGGGCCAAGTGTAGCCTTGAGATACTCCAATATACACACTTTCGATTAAAACTGCTCTAAATGGAGGGATGGGGCAATATTTATCTTTTGGATTTCACTTTTAAATTCAAACACATACCCATGTAGACATACCAACCACCCCCTACTATAAATAACTTAGCTCGATTTTCCCCTGGCTTTGGCAAGTTTCTGAGGCTAGCATTTGGTTTTTGTCAAAAAAAATAGACTATATTTCTGATGATGGGAAAAATAAGAATAAAACCCTCCCAAAATTATGAAAAAAAAATTGAGAAGGGTAAGTTTTTCATCCAGTGAGTCAGTATTTGTTTGTTTGCTTACTTTTTACTCTTCTTAATTAGCATAGATATATAGCCAGATATGGCTTGGATTCAGAAAGGACCTTGTTGGCCACTGAGTCAAACCTCATTCGTTTGACAGATGAGGAAACAAAGGACCAAGTAGGTTAAATGGCATTTCATGTCACACAGATAAGAGGCTTCAGAGATAGGATTTGAACCCAGGTCTTCTGACTCACAAGTCAGCACTCTTTCCATTATACCATACTGCTTCCCCAGCTATGATTGAAAATGGTGCCTGGTCATTACAAGTGGCACAAGGAGAAAGGAGGGAATTAAATTGCCATTCTTAGATTAACAATCAGTACCTCTGGGTATTCTCGCCAGCCAAAGTGATCTCTGCAGAAATACTTCCAGACTGTGTGGTAGTTGGAATTGACATTGAAAGAAGAAGGTGTGGATAGTCTTCGAATTTGGTCAAATTCAGTTGTCTCATACACACTCATTGCATTCAAATCCGCCCAAAATTCATGTCCCCTAAAAAGAGCAAGGGAACCAAAATTTAGTGCATTCACAAAACTGCATTTCAGCCTTTGATCGAGTTAAAACCCACTGAGGTACACGGGAAGGCTCCTCATTACAGAGTAAGAGGAATGAAGAGGGCTGTAAAACTGTTCAGATACTATTAACATATTATTAAAGCGTAACACCCACGTATGGGTCTGTTTCATTCTATTGGCCTAGAATTCCAAGTCTCCCATTTTTCCATAGGATCACAGGTTTAAAGCTGAATAAGATCTTAGAAGCCATTCTAGATCAACTCCTTTATTTTACAGATGAGGAAATTGAGGTACAGAAGTTAAGTGACTTGCCCAGGATCACACAAGGCAGAACTTATCTCAAGTCTTCTTGTCTCCAAGCCCAGAGCTCTATCCACTGAGCCATTTTCCCAAAGCTAAAATAAGCTCCTTGACAGCAGGGACTAAGTTTTTTCTATTATTGCCTAATAAATATATTTTTTTAATAGAGACAGCTAAGTGGTTCAGTAAAGCACCATTCCTGGAGTCAGAAAGACCTGAGTTCAAATCTAGCCTCAGACACTTCCTAGGTATGTGACCCTGGGAAAATCACGTGCCTCTGTTTATCCCAGTTTCCCCCTATGTAAAATGAGTATAATAATAGCATCTACCTCCCAGAGTTGAGGATCAAATAAGATGTTTTAATGTACTTAGAACAGTGCCTAGTATATACCTGGCACTTAATAATTGCACTAGCATTGTTCCTGATAAATATCACCCATTAAAAACATCTGGCTCTCTTGCTACTTGCTATGGGAAACCAGGAAATGTCTATATTTGCTTGATGAATGACAGAGAGAAGAGGAGCTATGGGAATATTTGGGATTGTTTTGGTATCCACAGTATTACTGCAAAACAGCCTTTTATAGGTCTCCAGAAGCCCATTAGGAAAAAAGGAAGGAAGGAAGGAAGGAAGGAAGGAAGCAAGGAAGGAAGCAAGGAAGGGAGGGAGGTAGAACCCCAACACAGAGAAGCTACTATGTGAAATCAGAGCCATTAGGAAATTCACATGTCTGATTCATAAAGGGGAGCCTGATGAAAACACTAACTCTTGGGTTTTCTTTCTTTTTGTAATGGAACATCCTCTAAGTTCTGAAAACAAATGAAGTGTCCTTTTACATAAACAAGTGTTAAATATCATTAGATAACAGCTATTGCTGTAGGACATAACAGAAGGCAGCCTAAGGGAGCAAGCTCAGTCAGAATCCTACTACCCATCTGACTCCTTAGGCAAATGACAACCTCTCTGGCCTCAGTTTCTTCATCAATAAAAGGATAGATTAGAAGATACAGCTATGGTCTCTTTCAGCTTGAAATCTCATGAATATTCTATAATTCTATGACATCTGAAATCATGGAATCCTATTTTTTGTTAATGCTGGAAAAGCAACTCAATTTGCCAGAGAGAATCTTAAAATGGACCCTTGTAGCGTGCATGCTGACGTCTTTGCATCTGGCTAATGGAGAGATATTGGTATATGTGAAAATCCAGGTGTTTGGATGGATTGTTGCTCTCTGCCTGTCACTCGGGGGTTTGGAAGTGTGTCAAATCAGGCCGCCAAGCTGGGCTGGCTGGGCAGAGCTAATGGGGTCACTGGTCTGATTACCACAAAAGCCAGCTAGCTGTGTTCCCAAGTTCAAGGCACAGTGTGTACCCACACCCTGGGCCTGGTCATGTTGCAGATGCATGTAAATCGGCCATGATCCTGCTCATAGAATGGGGATGAGTCAACACGAACCCGTGGGCACTCCTGGGAAAGCATCTCAAAAGCCCCATGCCACTGGCCGGGGGAACAGTGCTGAGCAGCCTACAAAAGGACAGCAGCCTATCACCCTGTCTGTGGCCAAGCTCTACACTTTCTCCCACACTAAACCAATCAGCAAGGCCTGGATGAATGACTAGTATACAGATGCTGTTTTAAGACAATCTGACAAGTGCAATTTTGAAACCGGGGGTGGGGGGGCGGGGGAGAGGAGGAGTGAGCACAAGGGACTCTGCCCCAGTGAGATCACTCACTGTTGGAAAGCAGTGTGCCCTCCTCCCTCATCATGTGGGACTCCAAATATAACCAGCAACCACAGCCTGTAATAATACCAGTTAGTGAACTTAGAGACTGTGTTAATGCTAATAGGGAGACAGAGACAGACAGACAGACACAGACGCACACAGAGAGTCTGGCAGCAGGAGGTGGGGAGGGGAGAAATGAAGTCCCTTTTCCATACAAGGAGTACTAAATGGAGAGCTGGAAGGACCTCGGAGGTCGTCTGGTCTCAGACCCTCATTTTACAAACGAGGAAACCAAGTTCAGAGAAAAACAAGGGATTCAAGCAGGAAGCAGCAGAGTAGGGTCTGATTTAGCTCCTCTGGAGTATGGAATGAGTGGCCCCTGTTAACCCAAGAGTCCCGATGGCATCCTCTCTTCCCTTTGTTCTCCCAAAGTCCATTCCAGTAGGGTCTCTAGGCTTACTTGTACAGGCCTAGATCAATGAGCAGGTAGGCAATGCTTCAAAGACATAACAGCTTTGATGACTGAAACTGGACCGTTGTCAATCTAAGTGGGAGAATGAATGGTGCATACCTGCCACAGAAAGCTGGCATTTCTCACCAGAAGCCATGCTAATATAGTTTAGCAATTATATCAGGCCAGGCACCAGCCTGGATGGTTTCACTGGGCAGCCTCATCATAGGATCATAGATTTCAAGTTGGGAGGGCCCTCAGATCAACTCTCTCATTTTACAGGTGAAGACGCTAAGGTCGAGATAGGGGAAGTGCCCAAGGTCACACAGGTAGAATTTGCACCCATGTTCTATGACTCCTGGGTGGGCACCCTTTCCTCTGGATCAGGCAGCCCTTTAGCCTTTTCCACAGCCACCCACCAACCCTACTCTCCCTAAACTCCCACATTCCAAAATGAAACACACTTCCTCTTGAAACTTAATCTCTAGTTAATTCGCTCAAAATTATGAGCAAATAATTAGAAATTCCATAACGAGATCAAATAGAATTTCATCACATGTTAATACGCATGGTCCTGCTTTTTTACTGGCTACATTTCCTGTATATTTGAAGTCATTCATTTAATTGACAAGCACATTCTGAAGCCTTGGAGCTCTGGCTAGAGGATGGGAAAAAATTTGCATATTGAAACTCTTACAGAGTTAGTTTTACTCAGGTCACCATTCAAGTAATTACTACTTTAGGGAGGGAAATGCTTCCAGTATCTTGATTTGCATAGTGACCACTGGTAGCCACTCCTAGGTGGCTCACAGATCAATCCTTTGGGTACAATGACAAATCATGGTGGACTACAATCGAATGATGCTGAGATCGATGGGTAAAAGTACTATTTAGCCTCGATCTGATTTTCACTATGCTTGTTTTAGAGCTTTCAGAGACAGACCAATAACTGAAAAACATTACAGCTTTCTTTTTCAAAGATTTATCTACCACATCTCCCTTGAACAGGACATGTTTTAGAAAAGAGCCAATGCTGTAAACTTTCTCTGTTGGAGACAGAAAATAGCTCCACAGGGCTCCCAAAGACGGCATTGTCCTCCCCTACCCCTCCCAAGCCGCTACCTAAATTGATCAAAAGGTGCTTGTTGCACATCTATGTAGGGTTATCAGAGAAGTGCAAGATTGTAGGTCAGCAGAGACGTTAAAGCTGGAATCAGCTTAGAAATGATAACTGAGTTGAATCCATGAGTCCTAATGATATCACAAATAAAATAGTAGAGAGAGAGGAGGGGAAAGTGCCCAGGATAGATCCATAGGGGACACCCAAGGCAAACTGGATGAAGATCCAGCAAAGGATGTCATTTGGGGAATGGCCAGCAGGTCCGTGTCACTGGGTCAAAGAACGTGTCAGGAAATAAGGACTAAGAAGACTGGGAAGGCAGGAAGCGGCTCATTTCTGCTTTGAATGCCAAACAGAGCATTTTATATTTGCTCTTGGAGGCTATAGGAAGTCATTGGAGTCGTGTGTGTGTGTGTGTGTGTGTGTGTGTGTGTGTGTGTGTGTGTGTGTGTGTGATGGGCACAACTGAACTTCAGTAAAATCACTTTGGCTTCTGAATAGAGGATAGACTCAAAGCAGGCAGACACTCCCCTCCTCCCACCCCCAATCAGGCTACTGCCAGGAGTGGTGAGGAGGATCTGCCCTAGGGTGGGGCCAGTGTCAGAGGAGTGAAGGAGGCATACCAGAGAGATGCTGCAGAGGTGATGTCAACAGGCCTGGGCAACCACTTGGACATGGGGTGGGGGTGGGGGGGAGGGAGGAGGGAGAGACAGTGAGGAGTCCACAATGACTCCTAGGTTGAGAGCCTGAGGAAGTGGGACAGGGGTGGGCAACCTGTGGCCACAAGTGGGTTCCCCACCCCTGACCTGGGAGGACAGTGTTGCTCTGGGGAACAGAATAAGCCTACTATGTGCCAGGCACTGTGCTAAGAGCTTTATAACTATTGTCTGATTTGAGACTCACAACAACCCTGAGAGGAAGGTCCTATTATTATCATCTCAGTTTTACAGATGAAGAAGCTACGGCCAACAGAGTTGAAATGACTTGCCCAGGGTCACACAGCTAGGAAGTGTCTGAGACAGATTTGAACTCAGGTCTTCTTGACTCCACTTTGCCACCTAGTAGCCTCAACCTCTTCTGAGGGAGGCTGGAGATCAGGCATGGGCCCCATGGTATGATAAGATGGTATGATAAGAATTAACATCAAAATCATGGCAGTGGCCAGATCCTTCTGGGGTAGAGGCCAAGGATGACGGTCACATAAGGAGTGGTGGTCACTCCCAGAGTAAGGATGCCCCATGGGAGGCATGGTGTCATTTGATCAAAATAAGGTGTCCCAGTGAAAATGAGATTTGAGAAGCAATTTAAATGGTAACTTATCAAGCCAAGCCCCAAATCCGTCTGGTTGGGGGAGCACTAGCAAAGAAAAAAGGAGCTTCA